GCCACCTACGAAGACTTTGGCCAAGGTCGGCGGGTCATCCAAAGTGGATACCGAACAAAAACACTCCGACCGCGTAACGGCTGTGTTGTCAATACGTTCCAATGGGGACAAGCTGCCAATCATGTTCATTGTCAAGGGAGGGCAAGGAAGCCACCGCTGTTTTCGTCAAGGAATGCCTTCTGCAGTGGTTTGCAGTGTTTGGTGTCTGCTACGAGTGGGTGTCCGATCAGGGCACTCATTTCATGAACCAAGTAATCGCTGACTTACAACATTCGTTAGGAGCTCAACATCACTTTACAACAGCTCGGTGCCCTTGGGCAAATGGTACAGTCGAGGTGGTCACGCGCCAGGTCCTGCGTCTCTTTCGTGCGTGCCTCAGCGAGTGGCAGATGAGTCCAACCCAGTGGGTCGAAATTAACATGGTCATCATGTTGATACTCAACCAGTTACCATCGCCGTCCCTCGGAAACGTTGCCCCCGTCACCGCAATGTCTGGTCGCCCTACCATGTCTCCGTTGGATACAATTGCATTGCCTGGTGGTTTGCAGTCGGCGACTTTGGCCGAGATCGAGTCACGCCAACGCTCCAATATTCAAGCCGCCCGCGACGCATTTGATTCGATGCACAAGGAAATGGCCGCTGTGAACGCCAAGAAACGCGAACGCTCGAAAAGATCGCATGATGCACGACGGGGCGTTCAAATGGCGCAATTTGTTGTCGGCGACTATGTGCTGTATCAAGACGTTTGGCAGCATCAGCGTCGAAGTTGAGAACACATGGTGTGGACCAGCCGTTATCACCTCTGTCCAAAGCAGCTGGGTTTACGATGTACGAAACTTGGTAACTGCCGAGGTCCGCCCCGCTCATGCCAGCCGATTGAAGTTCTACGCCGACGAAGATCTCTATATGTCGGATGATTTCCTCGCTCATGTTGTCCACAACTCAGAGGGGTACGAGGTCGAAGAGATCGTGGCTGCACGTTAAGTTTCAGCGACGAAGGAGTTTCAGGTGCAGATTAAGTGGCGAAGGCAGCAGTCGCTTGAAAATTCATGGGAGCCCGCGCAAATCATCCAAGAGGACGTTCCATATGTTTTCGATCATTCTGTTTCAAGAAGGGATCCCCAGCCATCGTGAAGAAGATGGAGAAGGCTCATGAGGTCGTGTAGCCATGGGAGAAGTGTTGTCCTTTGCGGACCGGGCGTGCCAACTTCGCCGTGGTGCGCCCAAGTTGGCTCTTCCGTAAAAGTATCCCGATTCAAGGAGTGTGGCGTGCGAGAGGTTTGTGCGAGTGGATTGTCGTAATGACTGCTAATGACACTTTTGAATTGACCGTGTTTGTGTCAAGTGTGTTGTTTCCGTACTGGAGCGACAACAACCACTGATGTTCCCGACCAAGTACATGCGGTCGATTTCGTTCACATTGATGAGTTGCTTGAACGTCGGCCTCGCCGACGTTCTCAATGCCTTCCTTGCCCACGAGCCACTCGCAGATTCTTGGTGCCAGCGACATCATGATAAACGGCAAAACCGTTGACACGCTGCTGGCCATTGCGAGACATGCGTGCCCGAGAATAATGGCGACATGCGTTGGAGCAATGGAGCAACGAATGGCCTCGAGTGCCCATCTTGGACTCTCCAGCGCCAACCCGTGGACGGTGCATTGAGTTATCTGACCTCTGCGGCTCGTTTGGGGCGGTGTTTTCGGAGAAATGCACAATGAATAGATGCAGGCTGTCTTTAATTCGTTTACCATGTAGGGCATGAGCAGGGATGTTATACGTATAAAAGAGGAGTTCCCCGATTGAAACAGTGGGACCATGTTTCAATCGGGGATTTCGACACTTTTGGCTCAAATCTTCCCCGATTGAGTGAGTGGTACAAACCAGTTGCCATGGTCAAGTACATTCGGGGCGTTCTCCAAAGTACAGTGTGGGCCGCCAAACCAAATCAATTCGCAACGTTGTTCAACGTTGCCTGGATAACAACACAGTGGAGGAGTTGTCGCAGGGACACGGCATCACGTCCGGGATCATGGCTGTCGTCTCGG